AAATTCAGAGTAGTGGAGGTTTTTTATTTAAATTTTAAAATTTCAACACAAAAGTGGGTATATTATAACATCTGGTAAATTTTTTTTCACAGCTAGCATAACTTTTGATATATTACATATTACTGTATTTTACAAATTTTGGTATATTATTTGTAAATTTTCACCATAAAATTCTGATTTTATATTAATTTAAGCTTGCTGATAAATTTAATGACACTTATAAATAGCATTATAGTAGAATAAGTCTTGAAACGTAGCTGTGAATACTGTATGATATTATGGCTATGAGCCTAGGATCTAAAGAAGTGAAAATTTATGTGTGAGTTTACCTCGAATTTCTGTCTATTTTAGTGTCAATGGGGCATTTTAGAATTATGAGATTATTCTAAGATTGTTTAATATACTTAAAAATGCAATTAATTTATGTTTATAGGTTGAAAATGTGAGAAATGGAGGAGTTCTGATATATGGTACTAAGAGTTATAAAAGTTTAAAATTTTGAATATGATATCTGAATAGAAAATTAAAGGGCCTAAAATTCTGAATATATATAATGCTAAGCATTAGTTGTCATAAGAACATATTATTTAACACGATAACACATGGAGTCATAAGGGCCTGAATTACTATTTCTGATATCTATTAAAAAGTATAAGGGCCTAAGGGGAATGAATGTAATCTATTCTGAATAGCTCATGTGGAATGTTTAAACCCTATTATTTGCAATCCAATGTGTTGTATTAACTATTTTTAGTTATGTTATTTATTTTGAGTTCTAAATTGTTAGGTCTATTCTAATAAATTGTAGATTGCAGAGTTCAGTTCTGGAGTGCTCACTCAAGAATTTTTTTCCAAATTTATAGAGTGCCCTGTCCAAATTTGGAGAGGAGTTTTGAATTTTAATGTTGTGAATGTGCTTCTATTAACTAAGTAGCAGACGACTTTCAATGATTTTCCCCCAAACACTTGACAATATGCATTAATCTCTCTCAAGCAGTGTTCAGTTCATCCTTTCGGTGCACCCATTTTGTTGTGGTGTGATCACAACAGTTAGATGCCTGGCTATTCCTCGATTAGTGGAATATTTACCAAACAAATGGGAGCAATACTTAAGTCCATTGTCAGTGTGTAATTTTTTAATTTACCTACCAACTTGATTTTCAATGAATTCCTTCCAATCTTTAAAAGTATCAAGTGCTTGATCTTTGCTTTTAAGGCAATACACCAAACCCTTCTTAAGTAACCATCAATAAAGTACATGAAGTATTTTGCTCCTCCTTTTGTTTCAACTCTTGATGGCCCCCAAAGATGACTGGAAACAAAATCTAGGATACCACTACTATTATGGACAATAGTGTTAAATTTGATTCAGCGTATAATACAACATTCGCAGAATTCAAGTTCACTGATTTTATCTCCACACAACAGGTTTTGCTTGCTCAATTCAGCTAACCCTTTTTCACTGATATGCCAAAGTCACAAATGCCACACTTGGTTTTGTCTTCCAGCAGGTTTCATCACATTGCATTAAAACAAATCATTGTGTGACCACCAATAACGTATCATAATCACTATTACTCCTTTGGTTATCTTTCAAACCTTTGTTGATTTAACACCACAACCTCCTGCATCCAGCATTTTCACATATTCAAATTTTGTTTAAGATCACTAACCTACCTTACACCTTCTAGAGTTCAATGTCGTGAGCTAATATAGTTGGAAGCTTAATGTATGGCATGTTGTACACAAGGATGAATTTGGGCACATTCAAGCAGCATGGTTAGTAGATATATGGCAAATCCAAAAAAATCTCATTGGGAAGCATTAAAATTGATTATTATATAATTAAAAGGCTCACTGAGCTAGGTTTGCTGAATGAAGGTGGAGTGTGGAGTTGAAATTGATTAAATGATAAAAGGATACTTAGATTCAGATTTTCCAAGCTGGCTTGAAATAAGGAGTCAATTTCATTGTATTTTTTCACTATTTTTGGTGGAATTGTTAGTTGAGATTGTTCATTACAGCGAGTATTTGCTTTATCGTCAACCGAAGCGAAATTCACAGTAGCAACAGAGACAATTCAAGAAGGATTATGGCTTCACAATTTGCACAAAGAATTGGGTTTTGAGCAAGACAAAAGCACTATGTTTTGTGACAACCAAAGTGCTATTTATCTCATAAAAAATCATGTTTTTCATGCGCGTTCACAGCACATGGACATAAAATTAAATTTTATAAGAGATGTGATTAATGAAGGAGTAATTCAAGAGGAGAATATTTCTGCATAAGATAATCAAGCATATGGTATACACCCATGACTACTTGTGCAAGTGCCTTCTCACAAATATCTTACAAGTTAGTTTCAGGTCAAGAGGAAGGAGAACTCTCTCTGGACAGTCCGTTCGAGGGACTCGCTTAGGAGTTGGGAAGAAGCTTATCACTGGAGCATGACAGACCTCCTTTAGCACTTCCTCCAAGTAGTCAACCTACTCGACCAGGGTCAACATCAGAAGTTTCTCTCTCAATCAGATAAGTCTTTATTCATCTCAGCCAAAGTCAAGTCTTCTATGTGAGACCTACCAAAACCAAGCTAAAGGCATAACATCTCATCCACGGGACATCTCTCATGATCAAATCATCACCAAGCTCATAAATCTACATTAAATCATCACTCACCCCCTCTCACACCAACAGGGCGACATCCGACCGAATTCCTACCCAACGCTGGCTCGATCTCTAGAAGCCCACGGGTACATCTCACCGGCATTATCTCTCACAAGATCGCAACACCACTAGGCACATCTATCCCAGCTATATCAAAGGCTGATGGTATATCTCCTGTACTCCGTACATATAAACTGTACTCCGTGCATATTCTATTATAACTCTCCGAGTCGTATAAATAGGGAGAGGGGGATACAAGAAGAATACAACCTAATGACACAAAAAAAGAGATACACAGGAAAGAAACACCAAAGAAAGAAGAAGAAGAGAGAGAGAGAGATAGTTGCATAGAAAAATGTTGTTTTCCCTTAATTTGAGCTCTGCGAGATATAGCTCTTTCCGCCACGTTCTTGTATTTTTGGCTGGTATAATAAAGATTATGTCCAAATCTATTCTCTCACCCTCTCTTTCCATCCATCTCTTTGTCTTCACATCCTCGCATGTAGGTCCTTAGCTCACAAGTAGATTCATAAAGTACGGCGAGACATCATCCATTGAACAAATTTGGATTCAACATATGGTATGAATAAATTCAAAATTCAAATCCTGATTGAAGGAAGTTAACTGTTGAAGTTTTGATCACCTTTCTTAATAGTTTCTATAATTTTTTCAAAATTTGGACCAAAGTGAAGATTACTATTTGAATGGCCCAGATTTTATCTTACTTTTCTTTGTTTGTGTGGATGTTATTTGCTTTCAAAATTTCTTTTTTGTAGTATAAGTAGAACAGAGGGGCAGAAAAATAAAAACTGGATGGTATAAGCTGAAAGGTATATATAGAAAAGACGGAGAGCTGTAATAAGCTTGAGTCTTTATGAATAAACTATTTTATCCTCTCGGTGCAAGAAAAAAAAGGAAGAATTCAGTTGAATTTTTCTGTCTGTTGAATACGCTCGAGTGTTCTGAATTTTCAGACTTGCTATAATCGTAAGAGAAGATCTATGTTTTTCTTGCTATTCTTAATTTCTGCAGTGTGGTGATTATAATTGTTCGCAACAGTTCTCTGTTATATTTTTAATCTATATAGATCAGTGTACGAATGTTAACTTCTATTGGTTTGCTAAATTGAATGTTGTATTGTGCAAATGTTTTTTATACTGGTTTGTGTAAAATTGCAATTGTAGTTTAAGCTACTTGGATAAGACATTTTACCCATGTTTTGAAAATCGGATCAGACCGGCCAGTTTACCGCCAAGTTACCAATCTGGTCAAACCTAAAAAGCGTGTTTGCATCAAATGGAATTGAACTAGTTCAAACTGCCGATTTGACAGGATAGTTGTCGAATTAGTTCCAGTTTAATAGAACTGGTTGGTTCTATAAAATATTTAAATAAAATATTTTTATTAGATATGGAGATGAATTCAACCATAACATAAACATGCCATCTCACATAAAATATTTTGTTATAAGTTTTGTGTACTTTATATTATGTAAAGACAACTAGCTTAAACTAATCTATGATATGGGACTAAAAAAACAGCATAATTGAACTTTAAGAGTAAGGTGGGAATTTTGGCTAGGTTGGGCTGCAAATTTCGACATGTGAGACTTCGAATTTGGGTTGATTAGACTGCAAATTTGAATTATTCTCTTTTTATTAACATATTGAAATTAGTTAATCACAATAATTAATAATTATGAGCTAAATTTTATTCCATCTTAAAATTAATTATTAATATTTTAAAAAAGTTTATGTGAACTTAAGTATTATAATTATATCAATAAATTTGTTATTTTCGTTTTAATATGAAAATAAAAATTGTTGTTCCGAGACGCTCAGTTTGACTGTAAGCTCGCTGAAATCGGAGTTCATATGCTCCCGAAATTAATTTTTGAAGTTTCCAACTAAGTTTTGCCTCGAGATTCGTGCCCGATCAAGATAATTTTTGCATGACGTATCAAAGATAATTACTTTATATCCTGTAAATTTTTATATGAGTTTAAGACTTTATTTTTGTTTGAATATACATAAATTAGTATTTAATAGAAATCATTTTATAATCACTGAATTTTGGATTTATGCTAAAACATGATTTTATAAAAATTAATAATATAAATTTTAAAATTATAAAATTCTAAATTAAATTAAATATTGTCCTTATTACAAATTTTAATATAGTAAATTTTATGGTCTTATTTGTTCAGTTCGGATATTATACCAACATAACCAACCTCCCATCTTCCAGTCAAACTCATAGCACCACTTTGAAGAGCCGTTGGGTGGAATGGAAATGCACGCGCAGTGCCATATGGTACATCTCAACTAAACCTCTTCGGTTCATCTGTGTAAGTAAATATAAACGACGCCGAAAACGAGAGACATCAATTATGCAAGCCATGGAGCAAAAGATTAAAGCTCCCCATGTCGTCCTCCTCGCAAGCCCCGGCATGGGCCACCTAATCCCCATCGCCGAGCTCGCCAAACGCCTCGTCATCCACCACAACTTCACCGCAACAGTTGTCACCTTTTCCGGCTTCTCTTCCCAATCCCCGCATCACCTTTCCCTCCTCTCCTCTCTTCCCGCCGGCATCACCTCCCTATCCCTCCCTCACATCTCAATCGACGATCTCCCATCTGACGCCCGTGCTATGACCCCCATCTCCACGACGATTGCTCGCTCCCGCCCTCTCCTCCACGACATCCTTCTCAACCTCAAGTCCTCCGGCACCCTCGCCGCCTTCGTGGTTGACAACCTCGGCCTCGCCGCGCTCCCCGTTGCTAAGGAAATCGGCGTTCTTGGCTATCTCCTCTTCACGTCCTGTTTCACCATGCTCTCCGTAGAGCTCCACCTCCCTGAACTCTTGGACACGGTCACCTGCGACCTTCGTGACCATCCCGACCCGCTTAGGCTCCCGGGCTGCAGCGAGATAAGAGGCCGAGATCTCCCCGAACCGATACGCAACAGATCTCACCCAGGCCACCGGCTCGCGATATATCAGTCCAGTGTCTACAAGGAAGCCGCCGGCATTTTAGTGAACAGCTTCGAGGCATTGGAGCCGGGACCCGCGGAGGCCTTGAAATCCGGAAGCCCGCCCGTTTATCCAATCGGGCCGCTGGTTAGGGCCCGGCCGTTGGAATCCGCCGATTGCTTGCGATGGTTGGACCGGCAGCCGGAAGCGTCAGTTGTGTTTGTGTCGTTTGGCAGCGCGGGAGCGGTATCGCGCGCGCAGGCGGAGGAGATAGCGCTGGGGCTGGAGATGAGCAAGAACCGATTTTTATGGATGGTGAGGGTCGCCGGACAAGGGGAAATTCCGGCGGCGCGAGTTTTGCCTGAGGGGTTCGTGGAGAGGACGAAGGAGGTTGGGATGGTGGTGGAGGGATGGGCGCCGCAGATGTCGGTGTTGGGACACGTGGCCACCGGCGGGTTTATCTCTCACTGCGGGTGGAATTCGGTGCTAGAGAGTTTGGTGAATGGGGTGGCAATGGCGGCCTGGCCGTTGCAGCACGAGCAGCCGATGAATGCGAGGATGCTTGTGGAGGAAGTGAGGATTGCGGTGAGGGTGAGGATGGGTGGAGAGGGTTTGGTGAGGAGAGAGGAGGTGTGTAGGGCGGTGAGAGAGTTGATGGAAGGGGAGGAAACTGGGAAAGTAGCGCGGGCGAGGGCGAGGGCGAGGGAGATGAGGGAAGCGGCGGCTAAGGCGGTGGAAGAGGAGGGGTCGTCGTGCAGGGCGTTTGCAGAGGTGGTCGGGCAGTGGAGATCATGTCTAAGTTAAGAACCATGATATCTAATGATCAATAAAGATGCGTGTTAGGGTAAGGCAAGCAAGCTTAATTGGCACAAGAACTCAAGAAGCATGAAAAGAGTAGAATAACAAAATTAACTTGTGCTTGCTTATGTAGCATTTGTATTCGTTGTCTAAATTGTGCTTAACTGTCTTCCATTTTACTAGTTGCTAGGTCTCTCTCTGTCTCTGTCACATTGCAGCCTAAGAAAAATCAATAACGATTTGTTTGTTTTCTCTAGTACTGTTTGTCTCCGCTTTCTCCATATTCTAAGGCAACTGTTTTCACGGTGTTTGCTTTAAATCAGCGAATAAAGCACAGAAGTGATCATGGTTAAATATTCTGATCAAGCATCGAAATACTTAATTTTAAAGAGAAAAACTGGCTTATGTGTTTCTACTTCCAAGATCTTTGGCCTAATTTCGAGCATTCATTGCTTTCACTATGTTGAAGTTATTGATTGTGCCGATTTCCAGCTGTGCTTTGCACAACACTTCAATTTATTTGCACCAAATGTTTTTTTTTTTGGGTGGAAAAGTTGATTTCTGTTTTTTTGGCATTTGTTTAGGCGATTGAAGTAAGGATCTCTTATAAAGATGTTTCATCTTCAACCATCGAGCCCCAACTACATGAAGCCCCAGAAATTTTATTTTTAAAAATTACAAAGTTTTTTCTTTGTTAGGTATTATAATTTGAGTGAAGCTTCGACCCCTAAATAAATTCTCTAAAAAATAAGATTGAACTTCATTTTACTTAAATGAATAAATCAATATTTACCCAAATAAAAGTATATGTAATCATCTTCCCATAGTCAACCTAAACAATTTTTTAGCATGTGTCAAATAATATTGATGGAAATGTCTTCTCTACAACCCATCAACTATACTTTTGATGCTTTACCTAGAGTTCAAGAATGCCAATGAAAACATCTTCCTATATGTGATGCAACATTTTATCTTCCATTGTCAAAGTTTGACAAATCATAGACTGATATATGAATGTTAAGCATTAGAGTCATGATAATACCTATATTCACTCAGATTCATATAGAAAAATAGACCATAATATACATCCCATAAATCTAAAAAAAAATATATCATCAGTTATAAAATAATTGCTCCCTCCACTAATCTAATTAACTTTAAGTTAACAAATGAATCAGCTTAAAGTGGCTCTGCTAATTAAGAGGACACAACATTATTTGTTAAGGGTCACAAGTGTTTTAATTTAGGATCATTTACCTAGTGAATCATATATATAAGAATCATCACCATTTTTATAATTTTTTTCTAATCTCTCTTTTCATTTTTTTTTTTTTTTTTTTTGAACACACAATTAAACATCAATTATGGATCTCAAGATATTTACATCAATAAAAAAAAAATTGAACCCTTAGGATATCATAGTTAAAAATCATGATAAGCATCTATTTTCTAAAATTTATGAGAAAAATTTGGCTTTGTGATAGTGAAGGTACTAATTCTGATATGTCTCGTCCCAACTAATTTAAATCAATATCTTAACCCTCTCTCAACTTAGGATCCCCACTAAATTGTGCTTGCAACAACAAGTCCAACTCCTTCCTCTTCGAGTAAATGGAGATGCCTTTGCAACTTAATAAGCTATCCTTTCAAGCAAGTGCAAACCGTTAACCAAATATTTGTGGGCGAAGCTATCTACTCTCTTAACATAAGAGAAAATTCTTAAACCAATGTTCTTTTGAACATTGGTGACTTAAGGATATCGTTTGCAATTAAAATGCAAAAAACTCTCAAAATAGAGGATTTTGGGTGTTGCCTACAATTAAAAATAACTTACAAGATGACAACAAAATATAAGAGAATTAGGGCTGTCAAAAATGGGTTTCGGGTTCAACCCGAAATTGACCCGACTCCATTCGGGTCAATCCGAACCCCGACCCGTATCTTGAAACGGGTCATTTATGCTGATCCGGACCCGACCCGATTCGGGTCCGGGTCAACCCGACCCGACCCGTTTGACCCGTCAGCACTATAAAAAATTTTAAACATGTTTTAAATGGATGAAAAGTAAAAACAGGTTTTAAATGACACATTTTTACAATTACAAATATGCAAATAATTTACATATTTCAATTGCTCAATTACAAAAGTAAAAACAGATTTTAATTGACCCAACTTCTTGCAGCTGCAGCCAGCAAACTACATGATTTACATGCTTTGAATGTAAGTATGTAACAGACTAACAGAACTGAATAGGCGTCTAGAAACAAAAAATTGCAAAAGGCAGCACCAACAATAAACCCTAAGCCAGTAATAGATAAACCGACAGCCCAAAGTGCCATACAACCCAAAAAAGGTTAAAAACGTTCAATAGTGATACTTCAACCAAGATAACTCTAAAATGATAGCAACTAATTGCCATACAACCCAAGATACAATAAACCCTAAGCCCTAATCGACAAATCAAAAGCAAAATTGCATAATAGCTTAAATCAGAAGAAATAATCGAACAAGGATGATACTTCAACCAACTAACCAAGATAACTCTAAAATGATAGCGACTAATTAGCAAGAAGGAACAAACTGAAATGCTTCGAGCCTTCGGGCTTCGAGCAAGAAGGAGATTAAAAAATATACTAATAGAGGAATAGACGACGACACCGACAAAGAGAGAAGCTCCGTGAAGGAGGCAGGAAGCCATGAACTCAGGAAGCACCACGATTCGGCGTTCTAAGAAGAGAAGAGACGAAGACGAAGGAGGCTGGAATGAAATGAACGTGGCTGCGGGCTGCCCTAAATGAGCCCTAACATCTAAATGGCAAAATTAAATCGCACGAATCGTGATAAGTGATAACTCAAGCGGACAACGCGGGTCGAAGGCTCGAAGCGGGTTAATTCCAAGTCAAAATTGGGTTTCCGGGTCAACCAGGACCCGACCCGAATTTTAAAACGGGGTCAAAAAATTTAACCCGAACCCAACCCGTTTCGGGTTCGGGTTGACCCGAACCCAAAAAATCTGGTCGGATTCGAGTCGGGTTTTCGGGTCGTGTCATATATTGACAACCCTATAAGAGATGATCTTAAACACAATATATTTATGAGCTTTGATTGAACACTTGATTTTTAAATAATTACTTTTCTCAAAAACTATATCCAAATGATAAATCTTCAGGCAGGAACCCATTCTCCTTTAAAAGCAAAAAAAAGAAGGGGTGTTTATAAACCCTTAAAACCTATAATATCTCCGAATAACCACTAAAAATGTTAAGAAAATATTCTAACTTAAAAGTTTGAAAATGACTCATCGGACAATTGTACGCACAATCCTCAACCATATGTGTGTTCAGTATAAATTTTAATACTATGTATGATTCCAAATTTATTTATTTTTTAACTAAATGATGCATAAAATCTCGTATATATATTTGCAACATAATGGCTAATCAATCGCTAATTCCCAACACCCATACCACATTAGATCGTAGATATGATCATGGATTGCATGTATGATCAAAAGTTGTATATTTGATCCTCTAATCAGTGGCAGATCCAGCCCTTTTTTTTAGGGTGGGCAAACTCGATATATATAAAAAATATAAATACAAAAAATATAGATATATTTCACTAACAAAATTCAAAACAAAGTATTATATTTCATCAATTATTTTAGTATAATGTGGAGAAAATAGAGTTACAATAGACTTTCTCCCTCTCATACCTCTAGTAGCCCTTACACCACTATTTATAGATTTGAAATAAAGCGACAAAGAAAACTTTAATTAATGCTATAATATGACAAAGTATAATCATACCAATTAGATCTCCCAATTAATTATGCTAATTAAATCTATCAATTTATATAATAATCAGATCCTCTAATTAGTGCATCAATCAAATCTTTTGTTCAATGCAATAATTAAATCTCCTAATTAACCACTAAGTTATTTCCAAATCAATTTCCAGTATTTGGAAAGATTTCCATCAACATAAAATAGATAGATTTTTTTAACGACCCATGAAAATCTCTTATATATTTTACAAATACATGACTTACATGCTTTTTTATCATTCTCTGAATTTTTAGAATTGCGTACAAATTGTTCTTTTATTTAACATCCAATTTCATTTAATTTTTTAATTCATAATTTACTAAAGATGATTTATTTCAAAATTTTCATCATCTTATATTTCACGAAGGTGTACCTTAAATGATCTTGAGTTATATTTTATAATTTAGAATTTCCTACATCAAGTTTTAATTTGGGATTTATTTGTAAAGTCTCATTTATTTGATTGCAAATTCATACACACATCACATACGTAAGATTCGAACACAAGACATCTTGGTTACTAGTCAAATATCTCAACCAACAAACCAAATTGAGTTGCTTACTTTCCAAGAGATTGATTGAAGGTATTGACATTTTACTACTATTATTTTTAATCTATCTTTTTTAGGAAAAAATATTAACTTGTATAATATGCCAGCAAAGATATTGTGTATATGAGGAATGGCTCATGACCTTCATTTTTTTTTAGTTAAAACCCACGAAGGGGCCTACGTGTTAATTTCAAAATTCGGTTACAACGTCCTTAGAAGGAACCTCCAGCTCACTAATGCTCCAAAGAGCTACAAAAAGAACAAAAAGAAAACCTACGAGCTGGTGGTTCCTTATCCTAAGATTACAAAAATATGAAATACGGTAAGCCCACAACCAAAACAAAGAAAACTCAATCATTTAGTTCTGATATACGGTAAGCCCATTTTATCCAGATTGACAAGCCCCTTCAAATTCTGAGGCAAGGTATTCACATCAAATTCCCTTTCATCCTCCAACCTACTACCAAATTTAGCCAAGAAATCAACACAAGCATTGCCCTCTCTTAACACATGATTAGTCGAATAGTTAAGGCCATACGAATATTCCTAATAATATAAAAAAAATTGAGGAGAAAACGTATCCACATTCTAAAAGCATGATCTTTAAAAATTTATATAATTAAATCTTAAACATAGTGAACTAAGTGTATTAGTCTAACATATGTGAAAATTTATAACAATTTTTTACCATACACCTCATTATGAACAAATTTTGTTTCTCTAACCCTACAAGATTAATTTAATTCCTTAACCAATCTTATGTGAAACATAACTACAATACAAAACTACTTAGATTTTGGTATCCATACTACTTTTGGGTCACTACTATTAGTGACATTGGAAGGTTGTGCATACACATATGGTGATGTAAACAATATTGTTCTTTTTTAGGATCCAAGGTTGTGCAAAAAGAACAATGTTTATTTTTCTACGAGGAGATATAATTTGGTTATTTATTTATTGAAAATGTACATTTTTTCTCAATAGGATTTTTTGTTACCTACCGGTATAGAAAACTACATAATTATAAAATGTGCTCAATCATAAACACATGCAAGATGACCAAATATATTGCAAAATGCACACAAATTAAGGTTGGGCTATAATGGACAAATGATTTCATAATTATATTTTACTTTCTTGAATAAGAATTAGCATACACATAAATATTTATCAAACAGTAAAAATTATATAAGAAATACCAAATAAATCAAAGAGAAAAATCAAAATAGGAAATTGCTAAAACATTTAACTCATTCAATTCATAATCATCAATATTAGATAATGAATCATTTAAAAGTTGATGTGCGGCGGCTACTTAGGGAACAGTTTAGTCGCTTCACTGGCAGATCCTATCTCTTGGAAGTTACAATTGCTATGTAGCAGAGCTGATGACTTTCGAATGTTGCGGAGCATGATGGCACATTTGGCACCAAGGCGTCATAGATTGTGCCACCACGACGCTTAAAGTCAAAGAACACAATGCTGCCAAGCTTACCATTTTAACACCACAGCACTTGATGACAGTGAGGTTAAATAAATGGTGGGGTTGTGATTATATGGAATGTAATTTAGTAATAATAGTTCTAGTGAGGGATTGTGACTTTGGAAAATCAAGTCCTTAATAAGAGTACACGCTCTTGGGTCTATTGTTCAAAATGATTGTGAAATAGATGGAAATATTATTAGTAGAATTCAAGTTGGATGGTTGAAGTGGAGGAATACATCGGGCTTGTTGTGTGATAGAAAAGTCCTCCTCAAACTTAAGGGGAAATTCTATAAGATGGTCGTTAGACCTACAATGCTTTATAGTGCAGAATGTTGGTCATTAAAAGAGAAGCATAATATTAAGTTAAGTGTTGCATAGATGAGGATGCTCAGTGGATGAGTGGCTTTACTCTTAAAGATAGGATACGAAATAAGCATATATGTGAAAAGGTTGAAGTAGCTCCAATGGAAGATAAGATTAGAGAGAGTCGCCTTAGATGATTTGGTCACATAAAATGATGGCCTTCCGATAACCCGGTTAGGATTAATTTGACTTATGTTAAGAAGGGTAGAGGTAGACCTAAAAAGATTTGGTTAGAAAATATTAGAAATGACCTTTCTTTATTAAATTTAAATGAGAATTTAACTTTTAACATGGCACAATAGATAAAAAGGATTCATGTTGTTGTTTGTTGTTGACGCTTGAAGATAGTGAACACAGCACTGTCATGTCCAAGTGTGGTGCCTCGGTGGTGTGGAAGATAGCGTTGCAGCATGGAATTTTGTCGAATGCCACGGCGTTGTACTCTACCTTAAATTTTTTGTCTTTTTTTAAATTTTTCTGACACCAAACAACTAAAACAATATATTTAAAATGATAAAAACACATATAGAAATATAATGTAATTTACACTTATCACTTAACAAGTTATTTTAGGCAGTTTGATTAAAGATCAAAAATTCATCTTGCTTCTAAAACCAGTAGCATACCACTTATGTTCTTCCCACAACTCCAATGGGACTTTGCCGTATGGAAAGTGCCACACAATCAGCATAATGACTATGGGTTCTCCATTTTATCTATTTAGCAAACTTCCAAAATCCATTGAAGATATATATTTAAGTCAAAAAATGTCAAATAAATTTCTAAAATTTTATAAATTTGGGTCCTTTCTAAAATAAAAAATGTTTTATCAGATTTCCAGTGGAATACCATTTATATTTTTTAGAACTTTTGAAGCCAATGATTGATTATAATTGGCTCCAAAAAAATTATGAAATTAATTTTAGGGATATTTTATAGCTTAATTAACCTTTATCAATAATTTGCAGTGCTTCGCAAATATTATTTTTTAACTACTTTCAAAACCCAATTTATCCCATTCAAAAAATTAGGATAATTAAAAAATTTCTAGTTAGTAAGACTAGAAAAGAGCCCATTCATACTGATTTTAGAGTCTTTAAGTGTCAATAGAACACATATATAGCATCCATGCCCAAACATGCCTAGACTAGTTTATTTAACATGGAAAGCCTAGCCCTAGTTCTTAAGTAATTTAGTATAACCTCTTAGGTGTAGTTAACTTGATCCAAAGTTAGCTTGACCTTTTTCAATGACATTTGACCCTTAGACTTCTATCCCACCCTATTTTATCATAGGTAGACTAGTAGCCTTCCCTAAGTTAATCTAGTGGATATGAGATCTAGTACAATGGACCATGGACCCTTTTATTTTTAGTCTTTAGTCTCTCCTAATTGATCTTAAGTAGACTAGTAACCTTTTCCTAGGTTGATCTAGTTAATCTTAGATCTAGTATAATTGATGCATGAACTTTAGACTTCTTGTTCTCCAAACTGGATCCAAGATAGACTAGTAGGTCAACCCTAAGTTGGTCTAATTGATCCTAAATCTATCCCAGTCAACCTCTGAACTTAGATGTCTGGCTCTCCCATGTTGAGCTTATATAGGTTAGTAGGCAGTCTCTAGAAGGATTATTGATCCTAAGTCATATAGCATATCACTTAACTCTTCATCCTATTATTCCCTAATTGATCCTAGGTGAACTATCTATCCCTATTAATTAATCCTAAGTGGATTAAAAATTTACCCTAGCATATTCTTATTGATCCTTGATGGACTAATGTTCTTAAGTGAGCAAAGTTGATCTTAAGTCTCCTAAAAATCCTTCTAGTTGTAACTCTAGCCTATTATAATTGAGCTTAAGTAGTCAGAAGTATTTCATTAGCTTGTATTAGTAAACAATAAAGAGACTAACGGGCATATCTAGATTGGTCTAGTTAAACCTAGGCTACATAGTTTCCCCTTGAACTTTTAAGACTTTATCTCCTCTCGGTCGATTCTAGTAGGCTAATATCTTCTTTTAGATTATACTAGTTGAACCAAAGTAAATTAATGGACTTTTTTAATTTTGTCTGATTGATCATATACTATATAGTATGTCATTTAACGCTTAAATTCAATACCCCTAGTTGATCCTAAGTGAACCAGTGACTTCTTCTCAAATTACTCAAGCATATTTATGAGTAATATACGGTTCTTTCCATCTCAGTTTAGTTGATCCAAGACTACCTACCATTACTCCAAGATTTTCCTAGTTAAACCTAAGCAACCTAGTGATCCACCCTATCCTATGTTTATATTATAATGACTAGTGGTCTACCATGGATTGATTTAGTTGATATTAAATTGTGTGGTGGTCTTCACCTTTATATATTTTAACATCACCGTTAAAATCTTTAACCGTTAATTTCTTTAAATTTCTTAAAACATGTGAACATACTTTGGTTTGTTTATTAGATTGTCTTTTGCGCTTAATGCTCCCTCCACCTGAGGGTGAAATGTACACAATTTGGGCTTCAGGAGCCTGATACGACATGATTCACCTTATGATGGATTGTGTTTATCCTTTAGCTGCTCTTTATAACCCCTTAAATATGAAACCATTAATATTATTAAAAGACATAATTCAATCCTTAAGCAATTAATGCCTAATTTGAAACTATGATTGGTTATAAATTAAACAATTTTTTAACCTTAAATGAAATGACAAACTTTGATTAGATATCTAGCCACTCTAAATGTTATGATAGGCACTACTTTAGGCATCCTAGAGGAAAAGTGCAGTTATAATTTCATTTTATCATCTCTCAATCTTCCATCTCAAAATAGCGACGAGTACAATGAGGGATGACGGAATGAAATGAAGTAGGAAATTTAGGGCATCGATTACCTTTTTTACTCAGATTCTTCGAGCGTCACACCTTCGTCCTCTCCCTCTCTCCTTTCCGCCCTTCACCATTTTCTCTTTCTCGGAAGAGTAGCTGCTTTATTCGCTCCCTTCACCTTCAAAGGCCTCCCAAATGCGTCCATTGAGGACCTCTGGATCTGCATGGGCTGTTTGATTTTAACTAAATGGTTGTGAAGCATTTCAAAACAAGTGGTTTTAAGCATATTGCTGTTTAGTTTCGAGTGAAATGAATATATTGTAAATTTTTAGAGGCTGTTTGGTATGCAAAATTAGGAGGGTAAAGTAAAGTAAATCCATGTATTTCTAAAATTAGGTCCTTGGTTGATGTTACGCGGAACATAAGTAAGTCCTCTGATCCATTAACAGTGTATTAGAGATACCCGTTCCTGCAACTTCGAAACCCGCTCAAATTGAGCGGGTTGAAAATCTCTAGCGCGATCGCGAAAAAAATGTGAAGCAGGCTGTACGCGCGATTTGTTTAGCGGAATCTGAGCTTATAATCCCTTCTTCTCCCTTCTTCCCACGCACGAATGATTCGCCCGAAGCTTTCTCTCCCACCTACCCTCTATTCACACGAGCACAGGAGGCGAAACCTTTTTTTCGCCATCTCCTTTCGTGACGGCAGCAGCGATCTAACGCCCGCTACACTTTGAATCCCTTCGATCGCGTGGACAACAGTCCTAGCCGGATACCTCACTTCCTCTGCCCTAGCCGACGACGACAGTCTTCTAATCTTTTGGTAACATCTTCTACATCCTCTTCATCATCTTCTTCCTCATTCCTTTTCTTCTTTTTTTTAATATCAATCTTCTCCTCCCCTCTCATTCTTCAATTTTATTTTTGCATTTACATCATGCATCGGAAAGAGTTATCCGAAATTATCTTGTTAAAATCTGAAACAAAATTTATTGAAGATGATCCTGATGCAAAAAAAAAACCCTTTTATGGTCCAAATCAGTGGCCTTCAGAAGGTAAAATACTATAGCATGGTCGTTTCGTTTTCTCTTCAGGAAACAATTTCTTGTTGTCTTTTTTCTAAGTTAAACTTTTCATTAATTTGTTGAATTTTCTTTAGCTTGTGAACTTATTTATCTACTTGATCACTATGTATTTTCTTATAAAATGCAACTTTGTATTTTCAAGTAACACTGAGTTGAGTTTTTTTCAGCTAGATTAAAATTTTCTAATTGTAACATATCGTCCCATTTTCTTTGTGTTTTCTGAAGATATTTTACCTGTATGGAGGCAAGTTATGGAGCAGTACCACAAAGAAGCCTTGTAATATATCTTTACCTTTTGCTGCAATATTTTGTTTTTGGCAGACTTACTAACCAAAATTTTATTAATTTTAAAAGATATATTTAGCCATTTCTTTAGGTGAATGATAGATGCTACCCTTAAGTTTGTAGCAGTTTCCTTTATGCCATTATGATCAATATGTTTAGCCTTCCTTTTGGGATTTAGTTTTTATTTCAGTCCTCGCTTAACTCTGTTTCAAGGTTTTCTAACAAATCTCTATAAATAACATCTTGCAATTACCAGTATTATTGCTCTAAACAAGTCTATCGTTGAGGTTTTTATTCAATTGCCCAATCTTTCTTGTGCAATTGATGTAGGTTGCTTTAGCATCTAGAGTTTTAATGCATATCTAATATGTGATGTACAAAATCAGTATATACACAAAACCTTGCAAAGCACGGACTTTTAATTTTAATAGTTTCTGGTCGGAGAGGAAACTAGAGAAAATATAATGTTTTAATTCAAATAACACTTCAATAGTTCTATGCTAGAATAATTCACAATAGTTATGAACCTTGAAAACCATAAAACCTAATTAAGAATCAATGAATTCATTGTAATCTAGATTGTATTTAGCATGACTAATTAAATGACACCTGAAAAACACTTACAAGATTAATCGAAAATATCTGAAAAAAACCTTTTGAACTAACTATTCATTATTCCAACAATGAAGCAACTTGAAGACTGTGCTGCATTTTAGTGTTCTGAGATTTCTCTAGACTTGAGCCGAATGTCTACTTACATTTCTGTCTATAAATAAGAACTGTATTCCCATTTGCCTGTTCTTACGAGGAACTTCTCTATTTATTATTAAGACCTGTCGTTTCCAGCACTCATTTCTAGTAAAAAGTAATGTATAGCCTTAAAGCTGAAGATTGTAAAATAGTTTTATCTGTATCTATATCTTTTAAAGTTATTATGCTTTGGTTAGTAAAGCCGTGGTGTCAACCATGAATAAATTTGAATTCAATATGAGGACCCATATAAATCTTTTAATGCTGTATTTTATTTTTCTTATTTAAATTGAAAATCCATTATAATATTGTTCAACAGTTTTATTATTCCAATCTAAAATTTCCATTGTCGTCTACCTGCCTACTATTCTCCTTGTAAGTGAGTCCGCTTGGGTAGTTTCCATTTACCAAACAGGTCTGTTCAGTTGGGACAATGTTAATAAGCTACTCCTAGTACGAGTTGAAATTGATTTGAACTAGGCATGTAGATTAAGGTTTTGTTTGGAGAAGCTAGCTTGTTATTTTCTAAAGAGCAAATTTTTAATGCAAATTTTTTTAGTTAAAATATTTTGTACTAAAAAATTGCTTGAAAAATTAATAAAAAAGTCGTTCCAAAAGAAGCCTAAATCAAGATAACTCTTAAGTCATCTACGTCTATATGAATGACTGCATTGGTGGAGCCAGGGAAAGCTTGCAATGACTATTGCTTCCATAGATTTAAGATCCCTCATGTAATTATCGGTAGTATTGAAGCTTCTTTTTTAAACCTTTTTGAAGCGTGGACGGTAATTTGAAATTAAAGCATCATCAAAATTGTGAATGATGTACCACAAATAATTAAAAAATATAACGTCGAAATAATATAATGAAAATATAAACATTTATGTGATTTGGATTTAGCCATCATGATTTTTGTGATTTCGATTTATACATGACTACTTTCAAGGAATTGGAAAGGAAATCCATCCACTTGAAAATATTGAAGTAAAAATAATACTGAATAAATTTAAAAAAAAAACACTCATTGCTGATTGCTGTTCCCAAAACGCTATCAATGCACAAGTAAATAAGAAGGCTAATATATCTCTAAGAAAAATAAGGTTATTAACTATCATATCTATATATAATATATATATTATCTTATTTTAATTTATCTTAATTCAAGTATAATAAAAATATAAATTATTTAAATTTATACAAATTTTATATTTTATATTGATATAGAATTTTATATCCTTGATAATCTATCATAATTTTTTTTCTAAATTTGTTACATATTTTTTATTTTTGTGCACGTGCATTTAAAACTAATTGTAATGCTAAAATTAATTATGAAAAAAAAAATCGTTTTTACTTTACTCTGGATCTATCTAACCAAACAAGGGAAATAATTCTCCTGCGTTTATTTTGCAGACAACTAAACAGTCTCAAAGTATTTGAAATGCATTGCATTTACTTTACACTGCATTCTTTTCAGGCAACTAAAGAGCCCCTTAGAGTATTTGAATGCATTATTTACCCAAATTTGGTATATTTTAAATTTGTAATTGACATGTCCTCAAAAAATTATCTTGATCGAGCACGAATCTCGAGGCAAAAATCAAATTGGAGACTTCAAAAATTAATTCATAGACTATCTGAACTCCAATTTCAGCAAACTTATAGTCGAACTGATCGTCTCAGAAATACGAGCCCAACGACACCAAATCCAGCTCAATCTGAGCCCAAATGGGTCTGAATCAAATGCCCGAAGCACATTTGGAAGGTTCAATCTATAATTTGGATCACTAATCGATTTCCAAATATAATATGCTTATAATCGAATTGAGGGGCTCGACGAGACGAATCCAACGAGCCCAAGATCGCCAAATTCTGATATCTTTAAGACATTCAAATGTTGAACGAATGATTCATGATCAATGGGTTCAATATCGATCGTCCATCCAAACCACTCTACATTGTCCCTGATCTCTCATCTATTTATGGGTCATGTCACTTCAAGAATCTATAAATAGACCTCTCATTTCTCTTGAGAGAGTGCGGGGGGGGGGGGGGCCAGGGGGGGGGGGGGGGGAGCCAAAGAAAGAAGAACAAGAGAATGATAGGAGGGAAGAAACTCCTCCTCGACCACCGCTGGAATTCCGCCCGACGTTCAAGTGACGTCAAAGTTCTGCCCGACTCCCAAGTGACGTCGGGATTCTACCCAAGTGACGCCAGAATTTCACACGACCTCCAAGTGACGTCGGAATTCCGCCCAACCTCCAAGTGATGCTGGAATTCTGCCCGACCTCCAAGCGACGTCAGAATTCCGCCCGACTTCCAAGTAATGTCAGTTTCACCAGAACTCCAAGTAACATCGGAGTTCTCCCCGAATATCATCTAACGCCAGAGTTCTCCTCCGCCACCAACTGATGTCAGACTTCTACCTGATGTTGGACCTCCGCTCTTCGCCAAATTTCTACCTGACGCTGGACTTCTGCCAATTGTCGGACTTTCACTAGACATCTATCTGATGTTAGATTTTTGTCCATTGATAGACTTCCACCAGCGCCGTCTTTCTGACCTCCGTCGTCAGACGACTACAGTCCTTCTGACCTCCATCGTTCATCGACTACTGTCCTTCAGACTTACGTCACTCGCCTACTACAATCCTTCTGACCTCCGTCGTCCGCCTACTACGGTCCTTCATACTTACGTCGCTCGCCAATTACAGTGCTTCTGACTTACGACGCCCGCCGACTACAGTCCTTCTGACCTTTGTGCCCGCCGACTACGGTCCTTCCAACTTACATCGCACACCGACTACAGTCCTTCAGACTAAACTAACACATCAACATTGATGCTTTGTATTCTCACTATGTAATGTACTCTGTAAGATGTACATCAAGCTAAGGCCTTCCCATGAGGAAGGACCTCATTTGTAATCAACTACAATACTAGTGGATTCATTCATACTGGGCCAGGCCCTATGATTTTTCCCCCTTTTTTCAGGGGTTTTCCACGTAAAAAACTTGGTATCTATAGTGAATGACACACCCTCTCTCTTATCTGATTGTGTGACGGATTTTCGTACAACGCTAAAACATTAAACTTTATATTTCTCTACCGCCACGAATACTCCAGGACGCAACAATAATATTTGACTATTTTTAAATATATTAAAAATTCATTGTCATTACATTCACCTGTTGTCACCTCCACCACCATCACTATCCATCACCAACCACCTCTGATCATCATCATCACTTGTTATCAATAATTGCCTGTGATCACCATGGCCATCGATTGTCACCGTTGGCACCACCTTCATCGATAGAAATAGCTACATGCCTCCACCCACCTCTTTCACGACCACCATTACTAGGGGTGTAAGTGAGTCAAGCCTGCTCGTGAGCCAGCTTGAACTCGACTCGATAACGAGCTAGCGTGCCGAGCTTATTGAGTTGCAAGCTCGAGCTTGACAAGGCTCAGATTAAAATTTAGAAGTTTTTTAAATAAAAAATTACTAGTTTATTAAATTTAAATTTTAAAAATAGATAATTAAAGCTATAGTTAGTTTTTCAAAAAGGAAAAAGTTTTTTTTTTTTTTTTGGGGAATTTTTGGGGCTTCGCCCATTCATATATGAAAAAAGATATTACAAGTAATGAAAAAGCAAAACTAAAACTCCTAATCTAATAAAACAGAGATTAGGAGCTCTAAAGAAGCAAAATACATAAGCAAAAAGGATCAGTAAGGCCTAAGCCTTAAGGACTCAGGATGTTCTGGCAACAGGATATGAACTCGATCGGGACTTGCCAGAACGCAGAACCCCTGGTTGCCAAAATGACCATCCAAGGGGTAGCTGAAAAGATCAGCATTCATCATTGTCCTATCATTACTCCAGTTCAGGCTACCTGCAAGAGCGACAAAATTTGCAAGAGCCTCAAAAAATTCCAGCAGCAAAGCCATTAGTGACAACATCCATAAGACATCCAGCAAACCAAGAAACTCAGTTACGCTTCCAGCCATGGGTTTTGAGAATTAAAGCTTTTCTAATCTTGACAGAAATCGTCTCCTGGCTATCAATAATTCCACCATATAACCGATCATTTTGCGCTCTCCAAAGGTGATAGATAGTTGCAGATGCAGAGAGCAAGAAATAATGTTTCAGCTATTTGTTGATATTTTGCTCATAAATGCTATCATAGACTTGATAAAGATTTGGTTTCAACAATTGTGAATCCATCCAGGGAAGTAAGCTCTTGATAACGTTGAAGATGAAATTACAGTCAAAGAAAAGATGTGAAACCGTCTCCTTTTCTCCATGGCAAAAACAACAGTTAAAGTGATCAGTAATCCCACGCATAGCTAACACATCAGAAGTTTTCAAACCTCCTTTAAAAGCAAGCCAGGCATAAACAGAAAAACGGAGAGATGCTTTTTTATGCCAGATGAATTTGTGCCACTCAACCACCTCCAAAATTACTCTAGAATTGGTTACGAAAATTAGCAAATTTAGGATTCTGTTTACCAAGCCAGAAGTGGTTATCCATATTATCTTCTATCACTACAGAATTTATAATCATAGCTAAATGGCTATCAAAGAAACTGGGAATAGCCCAGTAACTCCCCCAAATGATATCAGATACCTTCCAGTCAAAGAATTGGGTATACTGCTCAATCGAATTGTTTAAAATGAGATAATCAGCAATCGAATGCCCCCCGCACCAAGGGTCCCAGAAAACAGATAAAGTACTGGTCGGGCAAATATTAAAATTGATACAGTGTTTAATATGATTGGCTTGCTTACATAAGGCATTCCAGTAATGAGAACAGTACACAGTCGAAGTATTCCACAGAGAATGGTATTTGGCTCTCCACCAGCAAAAAAGTAAATTACTGGAATTTAAAAACCTCCAAATGATAGAACAACCAAAGCTATGGTACATGGAGTCAATAGAAGGAATGCCCATACCACCATTTTGTTTAGGCAAAGTAGTGTTTTTCCACGAAACAGTATGGAGCTTCTTTAAATTGATATTGCCAAAGAAGGTGAACCTAGCACACATTCGGTTGATAAGTTTGCAACAACTTTTTGGTATTATAGATCCACGAATCCAGTAGGCCAGCGTATTGCATATGGTGAATTTGATATACTGTATTCTCCCCGCAAATGATAAAGTCTTTGCCTTCCAACCGTCTAAAAGTGTGGCAATTTTTTGTAAAAGAGGTTGGAAGTGTGCAATTTTAAGTTTTTTGTAAAAGATGGGCAGACCCAAATAAATCGTTGGGGATGAAGTTTGTCGGATATTGAGAGTAGCACAGATAGATGATGCAATGGTAGTATCTTTGGAGATTAAAATAGAGCTTTTCGCTGGGTTCGTATGTAAGCTAGTAGCAGCACCAAAGTTGCGAAGGATATTGTTGATAGCTTGAGCATTGTTAACAGTGGCCAAACCAAAAACTAGAAGGTCATCAGCAAACATCAGATGGGAAACATTACAGTTTCCAGCTTTAATACCGTTAAAAGATTTGGTAGCAATAGCATGATCAAAGCAGGAAGATAAGCCATCCATAACAATGCTAAAAAGATATGGGGATAAAGGGCATCCTTGCCTTAACCCAGATGTTGAATTGAAATACCCTTCAAGCTTACCATTAATACTGACAGAGAAGTGCACATCCTTAGTACAAGCCTTAATCCAGTTTATAAACATTTCGGGGAAACCTTTAGCCTCAAGCCTTTGGTATAAAAAGTCTCAAGAAACCATATCAAAAGCTTTGGTAATATCAAATTTGGCACAGAAGTATTTTTGCTTGGCTTTGGTATTAAAACTCCCAAGGATGTCAGAAGCAAGTAAAATATTGTCAGAAATGACCCTTTTATGGATAAAGCCACCCTGGCTAGGGTTAATAATTAAAGGCATCACCTCCTTCATTCTATTCGAAATGATTTTCGCAATGATCTTGTAAATGACATTACAAAGGGCTATGCGTCTAAAATCCTTGACATTAGTGGCATGAG